AGAGAGAGAGAGAGAGAGAGAGAGAGAGAGAGAGAGAGAGAGAGAGAGAGAGAGAGAGAGAGAGAGAGAGAATTTGGATGAGGTAGAGGGAGGAACCAACCCTTTTAAATGGCAAAGTCTTTTCATATTCCTTTTTTTGTTAATTTTGGTTTTTGTGAGATTTTTATTGGAGTTTAAGAACCCTAAAAAAGATTTTCATATCTCTTTTTTGGTTAGTTCTGTTTTTTCGTGTAATTTTCATTGGTGTTTAAGAGCCCGATAATGCATTGGCTGTATTTCTTAAATTTTCGTGAAATGAAACCAATGAAATCAAAACCAACATAAACAGGAATACATCAAATGAATGAAATGAGTTGAATATACGTCTCTGCAATAGGGTTTTGGGGCCTAATCCCTCGTTTACAGAGAGAGGTTTTGGAGGAGGAAGAGGGAGGAACCAACCCTTTTAAATGGTAGAGTCTTTTCATTGTCGTTTTCTTGTTAATTTTGGTTTTAGTGAGATTTTTAATAGAGTTTAAAAACCCAAAAAAAGTTTTTTATATCTCTTTTTTCGTTAATTCTGTTTTTTCCTTCAATTTTTATAGGAATATAGGAGCCCGATAACACATTGAGCTCATGCAATCTTAGTGGCGACTCTTGGATGTTCGTATTAGCTGGTATTTTTTAATGGACACAGTTTCTATGCGGCCAGCCGAAATATTGAACAAATGTAAGCTTGTCAATAAATATATTTTAAAATACAATTTGTTCTATCTTTAACATAGAGATCATGCATATGGAAAATAAAAATTGAAAACTAGAACTAATAATTATATTAAGAAAACATTTGGACCGTTGTTTTTCGATAGACCACCTCTTTGCTTCCATCTCTAAAACGAATGCTTTATACCTCTGAAAAGCATATTGTAGTAATGCAGTCTAGCCTGCATGAAACAATTATCCTTTTCTGATATTCCTAAAATTAATTGTGGCACTTCTATAAGATAATGTAGAAATGCAGTCCAGTCCGCCTGAAACAATTTTACTTTTCTGATACTCCTAAAATTATTTGTTGCGCCTCTATAAGAACCGTACTATGATGCATTGGTTCTATGGACAAATATACTCATTGCTGGGGAGGTTTTACGGCGTGCAATTGCTTAAAGTCATTCAAAAATATAAGGAAATTTACTGCACCCTTCGATGAACAATCAAGTATATTTAACTACACGATCATGAATTGATATAATTGCAAGTGGATAAATGTTGTATAGCACATCTCATATAGGTAGTTTGACATATCTCCCTATAATATATTTGGTTCACCTATGGCCAATTTCAAAAGAGTTAAAACAAAATAACATAAATCACTTGAAACACTAGATTTAATAGTCCATGCCTCTATGGAATTATCGGGTATAGTTAATCTTGGAGGGGGTGACTAATTTGAATGCAATGTGGTGACTTAATTTGGAGCCCTTGTTTGAGATTGAAATCAATCTTATGTTTCTTCTATTAAAAAAAAATGATTCGATGGCAATAAGGGCGAGATCACTGTAGCATCTCGCCCAAAGGGTTGGGTAGATGATTCCATATATATATATGGATGGATGGATGGAAGCATCTACACAATGTCTATGGGTGAAAATGAATAGTGTTTTTACCCATAGGCTCATCACAGTTTGAAAAAATCGGGCGGTGTATATTTCTCGACCGCCATGGATTTAGCATGTCCGTGCCAGTACAATCATGGACATACTAGGTCCGTGGCAGTCCAAAAATTCTTGTAGAACCACAACGGACAGTGCGCCGTCCGTTGCGGGTCCGTTCAATAAACCGCCATGGACATAGCAAATACATGGCGGTGGCGAAACAGTATAGCATTTTTCCTATTTGGTGTTTTTTAGGTTTTTTCTATATAGGGATTGTCTACAGAGAGACCATTTATCTTTTGTACATGGGGGTCACGATCATTTATACTTATTAGATATAAAATTGGACGACTTAAGGTAAGTCACGAAGTCCGAGAAATTATTTTTGAACCTTTGTATATATTCAATGATACTCTTTGAACCACCCATTTTAAAATTTAAAGGACACGAATGATTGTGAATTCTATGTACAAAAGAGAAATGATCTCCCTATAGACAATTCCATATATATATATATAGTCCAACGGTTGTATTATAGTGTAATGCCACCAAACCTCTAAAAAACCATGTTTTTGGCATTTGCATGACCCTAATTTTGCTTACACATTCTTTTCATCCTCATAATCAATCTTATAAAAAGCAAAATTCAATTTGCACCCTAGATATGGTCAAAATTAGTACTTTCCAACAATGAATCTCGACTGTCCATTTGGTGAATTTCAAGATCTAGGCATTGACAAATTCAAAATCACTTTTTGATTGTTTATCATTGTTAACCTAATGATGATAACGCTATATAAAAATTTTGAGAATAAAAAAATCCTTATGAGGCCTATATCTAAACCTTCTCACTAAAATGGACGGCTTATAATAATTGGGATAGAAAAACACTTTCTACAACATTTTTTCAATTTTTTTTTTTTGTGATTGTTTGTTAGAGTTAAAAGAAAAAATTTGTGTCAAACAAATGTCTCTAACATGGTTTAGAAGATTATTGCATTATACTACTATACAACCGTTGGCATAATGAGCAGGTGATTTTGATATCTAAATCCCATATTATCTGAGATTGATATCGATAAGTTTCTTAAGTTAGCTAGAATAACCATTACACCCCGATTAGGAAATCCCATATTATCTGAGATTGATATTGATAAGGCTATTAAGTTAGCTGGAATAACTATTACGGTTCAACTAGATTAAGACTCTGATTATATCTTAAGTTTGAGATATTTGTGATATATAAGGGATTCCTATTTAGTATGGGATTCATGATCTTATATATAGGGAATGAGAGATGATATAAGCAGTGTGACCTATTTGGAGCCACCATTGACAATGAAGAGGTCACCTTTCCCATATGGTTGCCTTGAATAGGGTGCAATCATTCTGTCCTCCCTCATTCCTTATATAAGAATATGAATGCCATACTAGATAAGAATCTCATTGATGTTATATATATATATCTCAGTGGTAAGATATAACTAGGAGTTTTATTCTAGTTAGACTTCTAGGGATATCCAAACTAACTTAGAAACTTACTAATTTCTATATCAATATTATGGGATTTTTTTATGTGGGTGATCTTGGATATTACTATATCCAACAATTTAGTGGTTTTTATGACAAATTCTCAAAATAGTATAAATGAAAATCTTACCAATTTTATGGCTGTTTTTTTCTGGCGGATTTGAGGTTGGTTTTTGTTGATTTTCACCACCAAATTTGCAATGTCGTTTGAGCGGATTTTTGGGCTAGTACTATAGCAGTATGGCAGTTCTGAGTTCAAGAAGAAGATTTTTAGTTGGGAAAAGATTAAAAGGGCAGATGGCTTTTTATTTGAAGAGGAAGTTGGGTGGCTATGAGTCGATTTGGAAATAAGAGTAGATGGGCCGTGATAGTTTTAAACTTTATAGCTAGAGAGAGACTTTAGGTGGTGATTTTAGATAAAGAGAGAAATATGATACCAGCAAATTGTTTTGAGAGAGAGGGAGGCTAGGATATGGTTTCAGAGAGAGGTGTTTGATGATGGTTTCAGAGGGAGTTAGAAAGAGTTTAAACCACAGAGCTGATTGCAGGAAAACATGGGTTAGGATATGTTTTAGAGACGGAGCTCAGAACTACAAAATGGATCGTATAGAGAGAGGAGCTGACACCTGAAAAATTGATTGTATATAGAGAGCGCTCAAAACTGCAAATGGAAATGTTGATTATATATAGAGAGAGCTCAAAACTGCAAATTGAAATGTGAGAGCGAATGAGGTGTACGAAAGGCAGAAGACAAGGATCACGTAAAGAAAGGGCAAATCAGTAAGAGAGATCGAGAGAGACAGAGAGAGAGGTGTAAAAGTTAAAAAAAATGGACCACCGAAAGAGAGAGAAACTTATAAAAGAGAGAAAAAGAGGTGCAGAAGGAG